AGTTTTTGTTGGAAAAGTAAAAGTTTCAAGTGGACAGCAGGCATAAGTCGCGTGTTGCGCGGGCGAGCCTTGACGGGGAACACGTGATTCGAGTTTCGCGCTTTACCGTACGCGTTTGGTGTTCGCGTGCTATCGGGGCACTGTTTCGTGCGTACGCACACTCGGGCAGAGCCACGGGCACAAATGCAACAGCGTTGCTTTAATTATAGACCGGAGCCCTTCTCCTTTCCATCGTCTACCCTCGGCACCGCGAAATTGGAAAGCGTCTACGATGGACCACGCTCGTTTCTCGTGGCTGAGGGTAGGGACGGCTATTATACGTACACTGAAACTTTCCAGGAACTTCGAAAAAGTTCCCCAAACTTTTTACTAAATTGGTATCGTAAAGCAATCTTGCAGAAATGGCGCGAAAAAAACATTCTTCACAACCGTGTTTTCGAATTTCCTTAACTTTTAACGAACCTTTTAAAAGTACAAAATGTAGTACCCTTCGAATTAAAATTAATTCACAAGATTAAGTACTCTTCAAATTAAAATTAATTCACTAAAATCAGTACTTATCAAATTAAAATTAATTCACAAAAATCAATACTCTTCAAATTAAAATTAATTTACGAAAATCAGCCTCTTCAAATTAAAATTAATTCACAAAAATCAGCACTCTTCAAATTAAAATTAATTCACGAAAATCAGTACTCTCCAAATTAAAATTAATTCACAAAAATTAACACTCTTAAAATTAAAATTAATTTACGAAAATCAGTACTCTTAAAATTCAAATTAATTTGGAAAACCTAGTACTCTTTAAATTGAAATTAATTCAGAAAAAGTAATACTCTTCAAATTCAAATTAATTAAGAAGAAATAGTAATACTCTTCATATTCAAATTAATTTAGAAAAACTAGTGCTTTTCAAATCAAAATTAATTCAGAAAAAATAGTACCCTTGAAATGAAAAATTAATTCACTAAAATCAGCACTCTTCAAATTAAAATTAATTTACGAAAATCAGTACTCTTCAAATTCAAATTAATTTGGTAAAACTAGTACTCTTAAAATTAAAATTAATTCAGAAAAGGTAATACTCTTCAAATTCAAATTAATTAAGAAAAAATTGTACTCTTCAAATCAAAATTAATTCAGAAAAAGTATTACCCTTCGAATTAAAATTAATTTACAAAAATCAGTATTCTTCAAATTCAAATTAATTCAGAAAAAGCAGTGCCATTCTATATTTTTTTTCCGTTCCTTTCGCGATAAAATAAAAGTTTCACGGTGCTTCGGAATGCTTTCGAGCAATTTTACGAAATTACTTTTCCCAGTTAAGTGCCGTGCATTCGATTTAATTTTAAGACAAACACATTTTAGGACAATGGTTTGCAAGTACCTATAATAAGTTCGCGTCGCCATGAATATTGGGAAAGTTTTAGAGACCACTCGAAGAATCTTTGCTCCAGACTGTTTAAAGGAACTTTTCGATAAGTTTAGTAGGTCGACAAGTTAAATAATACACTTGACATCCGACATCCAACGTGAACCTTAATTTATGGTAGTAACTTTTAATACCGCTCAGAGAGGAACACTTAAGCGAAGCAAACTTTGTTTTCGAAGCTTTTGCTTCTTTCACTAATTTCCATGAATCTATTCTCTCTGTTAATAAAAAGTACGTAAACTAAATTCTATCAAATTTGCATTATTTCTCGATTGATTACTTAGTCATTGAGTCTTTTAAATGGTCATTGCAAAATACGAGTACAATTTTAACAATTTCACGCTGAGAAATCCACTAAATATTACAAATAAAACCCAGTTCCCAATTCTATAAATTTCTGATACTCCCTGAAAATATTAAACGAGATTATCCGAGGCCAAAGTATTCATTTTTCTCGGATAGTAAAATATATAAAATACAAAATTAAAAATTTTGACCTAAATAAAAACAACGAATCTATTTTAGAAGAGTATTAATATATCCCTTGAACTCTAAAATAATCACACGTGAACCTTCTAATACGTTCTCAAATGAAAAATGCAGTTTAGTGCGAAATATTGTGAAAACTAAAATGGCGAAGGAAAAACGAGACACGTGTTTCGTTTATAGAAAGCACCAATTACGATCTTAAGTGGTTAACGTTTCGTTAGAAAAGAATAGTAATTGCTCGAATTAGAATCATGTTTGAAGTAACGCGTATCACAGCCGTTGTCTTTACTAGGTACAATTGCAAAGAGAAGTAATTAACGATCTATAATGGTTCTACGCGATGCAGCTGCACAGAAGAGCTCGTTCAGATTTTATCTACGTATCCTAAATGCAGTTATGGGCTTTCTATTTTTAAAAGACAACTCGTAAACCGCTGCAAGCCACGGTGATCGACTCTCGTCACCATAAGCTGGAAGTTCTTAAATTTACTCTGTATATATTGTACTTGTAAATTTCGTGTAAACGATCTGAACCTTTCTAAGTAATCACAAACACGCCTTTTGATTGATAGATATGGTTTACTTTTTATATTATTAACACCGATCCATCGTATACTAGTTTCATCAGTCGAAAATAGATTCTACGTCCCAATTATACAGGATGTTTGGCCATCCCTGGGAAAAATTTTAATGGGAGATTCTAGAGGCCAAAATAAGACGAAAATCAAGAATACTAATTTGTTGATGGATGCTTCGTTAAAAAGTTATTAAGATTTAAAGTTCCATCCGTGCTGAATTTTTTTCTAGAAAGTAGGTAGCATTTCGGGGGTACGTCCATTTACCAAAAATTATTGTTATTGACCCCTGCAACTAAAAATATTTTTTTTAGAACAATTTGAAACTTTTGAATTTTGCCGAAAAATTTCAGTACCTTCTTGAATTTTTTTCTTGAAAGTGGATAGGATTTTAAGGGTATGTGTATTGACCAAAAATGATTGTAATTGAGCCGCGCAATGGAAGATAATTTTTTCAGAACGATTTGAAATTTCTTTTTTTCGTCGTAAAATTTAGACACATTTCTGAATTTTTTTCTCGAAAATACGTAAAATTTCGGAAATACATCTGTTCACCAAACATTATTGTAATCGACCCCCGCAACTAAAAGTAATTTTTCCAGAACGATTTGAAATATTTTAATTTTGTCACAAACTTTTTCGACTTATCCGAATTTTTTTCTCGAAATTGCGTAGGATTTCGGGGGCATGTCTATTGACCAAAATTGATTGTAATTGATTCCCGTAACCGAAAATAATTTTTTCAGAACGATTCGAAATTTTTTTTTTCGTCGAGAGGTATCTTGTCGATTCTTCTTGAAAATTCGTTTTTGATTTTTAGTAATTTTGTTTGATGCTCTACAGAAAAGTTATTTAATACTATTCTGTAGGTACCCAAGAGCTCTACTTCCGAAAAAGGTTTCATTGAAATATATTCACTATTGTAGGAGTTATGGCTGTTTGGAAATTGGATCATTTTTATGGGGTTTTTCTCATTTTACGGGGTCAAGGAGCAATTTGTCCAATATTTTTAGAGTTTCTACATATTCTCCGCCAAAATACGCGTCGTTTGCCTTTTGAAACATTAAAATCGTCAAATCTGTTCAGCAGTTACAACATTTTAAAGATTCGCATGAAAATTCAGGCAGACATTTCTTGGTCAGGAATTATATTTTCGGTAAGGAATTTTTTTCTTGAAACTGAGTAGGATTTCGGGGGTATGTCTATTGACCAAAAATGCTTGTAATTGACCCCTGAAACTAAAAGTAATTTTTCCAAGGCGATTCAAAATTCTTTTTTTTCACCCAAAACTTTCAACACATACTCGAATTTTTTGCTCGAAACTGCGTAGGATTTCGGGGGTATGTTTATTGACCAAAAATGATTGTAATTGACCCCTGTAACTAAATATAATTTTTGTAGTATGATTTGAAATTTTTTAATTTCGTCTAAAAATTTCAGTACCCACTTGAATTTTTTTCTCGAAAGTGGATAGGATTTCAGGGGTATGTGTATTCACCAAAAATGATTGTAATTGAGCCCCGCAACCAAAACTAATTTTTTCAGAACGATTTGAAATTTTTTAATTTAATTTTTTAATAACTTTTCAACGAAGCTTTCATCAACAAATTGATATTCTTGATTTTCGTCTTATTTTAACCTCTAGAATCTCGCATTAAAATTTTTCACACCCTGTATAATATTAAAATATGGCAAAGTATTGTTTATAAAACGAAGCTTTTAAAAAATAATATAAAATGAATATAATAATATTCGATGCTATTTAAATTAAGAGTAACTGTATTACTCGAAATGGTTTCCGATTTATTCGTGATTTTTTTTTTTAATATCATTTCGAATAGTTATTAGGTCCTCTGCAATTATAACATGGCGAGTTTCGTTAAATTTTCGTTATTGGAATATTAATGACAAGTTTATCGTTAACCAATTCCGACAGAAATAAGTTCGAAGGCGTAATATCAGGTGAACGGAGGAAGTCACGCGATAGACTCACCGCGTCCTATCCACCTATTATTAAATTTGCTATTTAGACGTTTATTTCGGGCAAAGGGTGACGTACAGTTTTCTTCGAGCCACGCCATTGTTCTTTTATCGAGAAATTTTCCGACAGTCTCGGAAATACATTTTCTAAAAGAAACTGCAACAACCTGTACCGCTTAAGAGATCATTAAAACTATATAAAAGCAACAATAATATATTCTTTAGTAAAAATGATCCACCATTGCTTCTATACAAAATCATTTCTCAGCATTTTTAAGCGTTTCTTATTTTTTAGAAATCTTCAAAAGAAAAATCTGAAAATGCTCCAAACAGTAAAATTAATTTACATACAAACATTTAACGTACAAATTAATTAAAATAAATTTTTTTACGAAGATTGAATCCAGATCTAAGCAAGCATACTACAGTTTTAATTTTCTAATAAAGTATTCTATTGTTCTTTTATTAAGCAAAACGTATCGTTTGTTTCGAGAACTAAGTGTAAACGTTTAAACAAAAACTCACCATTTGTTGGGCGTTTCTGGGCTTTCGGTTAACGTCAATCACCTTCTGATTGGCTGCAACGAGGAACGAACGATAATTAATACAAAGATGCCCTTTCGCTGGCTAACGGGGAAATCGTGAATTTATCAATGCTCATCGCATATGGCGTGCGCATACGACACGTGACCACGTTACCCCATCTACTAACGACTTCACTGTCAATTTAGGTATTATGGGTAACTGTCCAATACCATAAACGATTCGACCATTCAGTACTGTTATTTGCCACTTGATTATTGGCACCTCTTTCATTCATTGCAAAATCAACAACCGTTCGACAATCGTAAAAATTCTTTTTATCGCAATAACAATTTAAAAATCGAATATATTATTGAAAGTATTCGATCACACGCTAAGTACGAAAGAAATTAATTTTTATTCGTTAATGAATCTAACAAAATTACTTTTGCCTAATATTACGTGAAGAGAAAATAATAATTCCTTGTAATTTCATAAAACTTTCAAAAAATTTAGTAGTTGAAATTTTTTTATCCGTGACAATGTTTTGGGTCTCTTCATGGATTCTTTAGGCTTAATACATTGAAAAAATTGCTCTAAAATATCAACACAGAAGTTCTTATAAAAGCAAATGAGTTTATGGTATATATTTAGTTATTCTTTCTTGTTTTGAATATATCTATTTTTCCATTCACTATGTTTGGTCTATTTGCTTACTAAAATAGAGGAAAATTTTACTATTGATTTACTTACTGACTGCCTCGACCAGGTCAGCGAGAAGAACTCCGTCGCACAGATCAGATTGAAGATCCGCCACTCTTCTTTTGCAACCACCTTTTTCTAAGTAATAATTCGCCCAATCCGTGTAGATCTGCACAGAAAAAAGCACAATTAGTGATTAATAAATAGACTTACGCCTAGAAAAACATCAGGCTAATGTAATTAACTCAATAATAAATATAATATCAGAAACGACATTACTATTAATGAATTATCCATGATTTTTCGATCGAAAATCTTTATTTAATATTCAATTGCATTGATATCGTTGAAACATAATAAGAAACAATCATACTCTCGTGTGATGAATATTAAAAAAGAGAAAATTATTTTAGAATTTTACAAATTTTATTTTTAAAAATAGAATTAAATAATGTTAAAATAAACAAGAAGGGAAATTATAATCATTATTTATTTTAATAAAATTGACTTTAAAGTCAGTATTAATCAGATATTTTTTAGAAACAATTTATCGATTTGACGTTTAATAAGTCTCTATATTTAGACACAAGCATCTCAGAGACAGTGAAATTCTTTCATTATGTTATATGGAAAATAACATTTCTTTCAACATTTCTAAATTTAAAGCTATTTCACTCGTTCTCTCATAAATATTTATTTCCACGGTCATCGTTCGAGACTCATTCCCGACAGGTATTTTTATCTGCCATAGATCTGTAAAATAAATTATACCAGCGCTCATATATGATGCAGTATATTTTCTAAAATTCAGAAAATTGCAAACAGTTGTAAATTCCAAAAGATTTCAAAATTGCTCTCCCATGAAACACGAGTAGAAATTTCCTTGAAGGATCTCCTGACACACCTGATCAATCTGCAAATTGTCGATGATGACTAGAAACAACGGTTCGAGCATGATAAATTAAGGTATACTAAACGCGTCGCGACACGGTGAAAACGGTAATGGTCGATGGATCGATTATTTTCAAGGGGCGTCGATTATGACTTCTAGGTTGCGTGTCCCCTAGAAATGAACGTTTCATTTGTCTACACCAGAGATAAGGATCTATCGATCGATCGAGAAACGAGTTACCATGCTCGACGCTTGTCGCCCGAAGTCTATAAACCGCACATGCCTCGAGTCACCGTCGACCGGGGAACTGCATAAACTATTTAACTTAATTGTACGTTACAAGCTTCATGAATAATTAATTGCATTTGTATGCTAATACGATCAAGTTTGATTAAAACGACCGAGAAAACGAACGGAAAATTTTTATATTCGATAGATTAGAAATTTAATGGACCAAGATTGACACAATACGAATAGAAAACTACAAAAGTTTTAAATATTAAGTTAATTAGAGTCGAGAAGATTAGAGTAGAGAAGATATATAAAAGTTAGTATTATTTATAGCTTAAGAATATTTTTTAAACTGAAAATTATTCTTTTATATTTTCGTGAATATTGGATGACGTATAATGTATAAAAATAATTTAACATTTTGAGAAAGTTTAAATAAACTTCAAATGTAGCTTATGTTAAACTTTAAATATAGAGATTCGATAAAATTCTGTTTTTTTTTTTTCTTTTAAAGAATATAATTTTGAGACAAAATATATTCGAAAGAGTAAAATTCTTTTTTAAGAGGAATAAAATGTTAAACTGTTGTTTTTATGATTTTACTCGTTAGCTATTGGGAAAGTATTCCGTAAAGAACCGTACGCATTAGAAAGTCATCGGAGTCGTTACGATACATCTTGAATTCAATTTGCAACGCAGTGCCAGGTGCTCGACGCCCAAATTGGACGTTTCTACGCAAGAACTCCATACGGTTCTGTCATTATCATTCACAAAAAGAGCGTGACATTTTTGGTCTGCAAGCTAATCGAAGCTAACAACCATCGCAGGCATATTTATCAATCCCCGAATTTTTTCATCGAGCTAGAAAATAGTCTTCGATAGATTTTTTTTTATAAAAAACATTCTAAAATTACACTATTTTGAAATATTATTTCAAATTACATGTTACTTTATTTTGTAATTATTTTCATGCTGTGATCACTTTTGAAATATTTCTTTTTCAGAATATTATATTATATCTATTTTTCAATTATTCGGGAAGAGAGCTTTAAATAAATTATTATATAAATTTCATAAAATAAATATTTTTGTTAATTATTATTTCCAAGATTGCTTATTTTGGTCAATTTGAAGTAAAGAAATAACAAAGTAACTCGTTATTTAACCCTTAAGTGGACTGTCAATCTGAAATGAATTATTTTACTTAATGTTGATTTTTACCAAATTGGTCAATCAGCTTTCCTTTGAAGCATTTAAAAAATAATGAACTAATGGAGAATTACATAAATTTTCAAATAATTACATTTACATATATTATACAACATTAGTTTAAGGTTAAACCACCATAGCTATTATTTTAAAATAAGTTATTTTCTATTTCTATTTCAAATGGAACTTGTCCCAAAATCCAGGTCACATTTTACTCTGTAAATTGAAAATAAACGAAGAAATTAAGGTGCCTCAAAAGACAATTCGTAGCAAAGTTCTATTTTTACTTTTTCAATTATCCGTCTATTATTTCGCTACCCTTAACGAAGGCCACGCGTCGAGAAAGCGCCGTGCAGTCAATTAAGACTTTCTACGGTCAACCGGTGCGCTACCAAGAAGTCCTCCCAACCACCTCCAAGCGACCGGAAGTCGCCAGGGCGCGCTCGTTTCTTCCCGGCGAACGAAACTTCGCCTCCGTCGCCGGTATAAAGACAAAACTCGTTCTCCTCGCGGTGCTTCTTTCCGCGCAAAAGAAAAGCCAAGTCGCGAAAAGGCGTCAGCTCATCGCGGCACGGAACCACCGAGTTTATTGTTTTGGCCGAGTGCCAATATATTTCGCGCGTCGGATCTCGCGAGTGGTTAAAGGTATACAGGCTGTTCGACTACTAATGGTTACCCTTTAAAATTTGTTTACTGGCCTACTTACGAAAAAGAAGTAACAAAGAAAAATTTTCATGAATAGTAAATATCGAATTATGTAAATAATAAGAAAAAACTTACCAATAGTCTGAAGAATATACCATATTGATATATTTCAAAAATGAAAGTCAAATTAGGTTTGACAAATTTTGAGAACATTATTTTTATGTAAATAAATAACACGACAAGGTGTACTAATACTTCGTGAATAGTTCGAATTATGTAAATGGTAAGAAAAATGAAATTGTGTTTGAGATTTTTTTGAGTTTGTAAGAATTTTGTCTACGTAATGAGGAACAAAATTAACAAATTAATGTATAGTTTTCGAGTAATAAAAGACTTTTTGCTTAAGCTACTAGTATCTAGGTTGAAATTCTTTTAAAGACAGTGAAATGAAAAAATGAATTCCGCGACTTTTGTTTTGGATCTTTTCCCCAACTTTCCTGAATTTTGTGGTGGAAGAAGAGGGCCAGGAGAATAGAAACGACCAGACAAACGGTTCGAGCGAGGATGGGGCTCGATAGAGAAAAGGACTTAGTCACCGTGCGTACCGAATCATACACGATGCTCACACACTTTTGTTCGTTCCTCCCGCCCGTGTAAATGAACGTGCGCGCGCACATCGACACCGTGCTTCTCTATTTGTCATACGAGTGTGTCGCGCGCATTCGTATTCCACCGGAGACACGCGAGTATTTACATAGGCGATTCATCTACCCAAGCGTTTCCCAAACCGTGCTCGAACCGTACGAAAAATACTAATTAATAATCAAAAAGATACCATAAAACAATTAAACGTTGCATTGTATTGTTTCTAACTTTACTGATGGGATCTACAAAAAAAACTGTTACACTAAAATCTTTTTTTTTTTATTTTTGATCTACCTGTCATTTTTCTACTATTCTCTACGATTAATAATATCATAATAACTTAGACTAATTATCGACTAGGCCTCTTTGCATGAACTCTATATCTTCCAATGTAATCTATGAAAAACTGATGCACTAAATTTCTTTTTTTTTTTAATCTTAATCTACGAGTCATTTTTCTACTATTTTTTACGATTAATAAAATTATAATAGCTCGAGCTGATAATCGAATAGACCTCTTTGCATGAACTATCTTCCGATGTAATCTATGAAAATATAGCAATGTACTAATGAAAACTTGATGCACTCAATTTTTTTTTTTTTAACTCTGATCTGCCAGTCACTTTTCTACTGTTCTCTACGATTAATAAAATTATAATAACTTGAGCTAATAATCGAATAGACCACTTTGCACGAGTTCTGTATCTTCCAATGTAATCTATGAAAATACAGCAATGTACTAATGAAAACTTGATGCACTAAATTTTTTTTTTTTAACTCTGATCTGCCAGTCGCTTTTCTACTATTCTCTACGATTAATAAAATTATAATAACTCGAGCTAATAATCGAATAGACCACTTTGCACGAGTTCTGTATCTTCCAATGTAATCTATGAAAATACAGCAACGTACTGATGGGATCGACGAAAGAAAAATGTTTCTTTTCAAACGTTGATCTACCCGTTCGAGCACACGTACGCACTAAAACGAAGCCTGAGCGTATGTGTGGAGGCGCGCGGGAACGCACACGCGTCGGTTACGGGCCAGTCGAGACACCCGTACTATTTTTGAGTGTGGCAAAGAGAGAAGCAGGATGAACTTCCTTCATAATTTCGGGTCATCACGCGGATTATAAGTTTCATTACTGCACGGACGCCACTGCGTGGAGTTTTCGACCGTGATTTTGAGCGGCAATTTCGATACGCGCGAATCGAGACCACCCCTCGTTTGCAAAGTCACTGTGTATATCATGGATCATCGTAGGCGATACATTTACTGCAATATTACGATACAATATCGAGGTGAAGATATTTTAATCCCCATTTTGGATTTTTCTCTTCAGGGATATTTTTAATTTTAATAATCACTATTTATCGTAAATGTGTAATAAGGATTACTGGTTTATTTCTAGCGTGAAATCTCGTACAAATGTAACCTAAGATAACAAGATTTTTTATAAATCATTTATAATATCCATTGGCATATGATAATAATTGTCACGAAATAGAATTAAATAGAAACGAATTCTGAGCGACATTTCTTATTCT